GTCCTGACATTTGGGGGATATCTGTCCCGTCCTGACATTTGGGGGATATCTGTACCGTTTTGACATTTGGGGGGATATCTGTAACGTCCTGACATTTGGGGGATATCTGTACTGTTCTGACATTTGGGGGATCTGTACTATTCTGACATTCTTGGACCTCAAGAAATTAGATTGGCTGTCAGTACTTCAGGATTGATCAATATTCAGATCTATCCCATAGTTTGTGAACTCTATAACTTTCCTACAAACTAAATAATACATCCTAATTTGGGTTATTTTCACCAAAGACATGGAGCAGAATACATCTCGGCCTAAATTTATGAAGAACAATTATTTATTTGTAAACTTTTATAACGGAAACAAAGAAAAACGTGTTTTTTTTTTCAAAATTTTTGGTCTTTTTTTGTTAATTTAGCAAAAAATAAAAACCCCAGCGGTGATTAAATACCAACAAAAGAAAGCTCTAGTTGTGTGAAGAAAATGATAAAATTTCAGTTTGGGTACAATGTTGTATGACCGCGCAATTGTCATTCAAAGTGTGAGAGCGCTGAAACCTGAAAACTGGCCTGGGCAGGAAGGGGGTAAATTGCCCGGTATGGAAGTGGTTAAATAACAAAAAGGGGATGTGCAGGGATATAAAAGGGAGGGACAGTCCTTAATGTCCCTAAGTGCAGTATTAAAAGGTAATTTTTATTAAGCAAGGTAACTGAGGGAACTCACTAGATAGCAATACAGAAAAGCATATATCTCAGGATAGACGTCGTCCTTCAAAGGTCCCGGAGGCTTGTGGAGAGGGCAGAATACCTTCTAGGAGCCAAGGTTGCTGTGGGGACCTGGTCTCCCTGTTCCACACTGGTAGCGTCCAGCAGCTGCGATGGAAACCAGGCTGGAACGCAAATGGCGGCGGGGACGTGACGTGACGTCACAATGTGAGCGTGATGCCGCAAGAGGGCAGCAATGCATTTTGAAGTGTCAGCTTTGTCAGACCTTTTTTTAACACGCTTTGAAGCATCAGCTGACTCTTCGAGACGCGTTACTGCCCCCTCTTGCGGCATTATGCTCACGTTGTGACGTCACGGCCGCCATTTGCGTTCCAGCCTGGTTTCCATCACAGCTGCTGGACGTTACCGGCATGGAATCGGGAAACCAGCTCCCCACAGCAGCCTTTGCTCCTAGATGGTATTCTGCCCTCTCCACCAGCCTCTGGGACCTTTGAAGGACGACGTCTATCCTGAGATATATGCCTCTTCTCTTGCTATCTAGTGAGTTCCCTCAGTTACCTTGCTTAATAAAAATAACCTTTTAATACTGCACTTAGTTTGGCGCCCCTCTCTCTTTTTCTTCAGAATTACATGCAGCTGCTGCTCCCCTCCTCCTGCTCAATCACGGAGTGCTTTGTATTATGTACCCCATTAACAAAATGCAAACCCTTCTATGAATGTACAGCAGAGGGGAGGGGCAAAGCAGTTGCTACAGTGAAGGAAATGTGTATTTGATTGCCTACTGATTTTGAATGTTTGCTCCTCACAAAGAAATGATCGGTCTAAAAATTGAATGTTTGGTGTATTGTAACACTGAGAGACAGAATAGCAACAACAAATTCAGCAGAAATGCGTCTAACAAATGATGACTGATCTGCATGTTCATGAGGGAAAGAAGGATTTGATCCCCTATCATTCAGCAGGATTTCTGGCTCCCAGGTGTCTTTCATACAGGTAACAAGCTGAGATTAGAAGCAGTCTCTTAAAGAGAGTGCTGCTAATCTCATTGTGTTACCTGTATAAAAGACACCTGTCCACAGGAGCCATCAAACCATCAGATTCCAAACTCTCCACCATGGCAAAGACCAAAGAGCTGTCCAAGGATGTCAGGGACAAGATGGTAGACCTACACAAGGCTGGACTGGGCTACCAAACTATGGCCAAGCAGCTTGGTGAGAAGGTGACAACAGTTGGTGCAATCATTCACAAATGGAAGAAACACAAAACAAGTGTCAGTCTCCCTAGGTCTGGTGCACCATGCAAGATCTCACCTCGTGGAGTGTCAATGATCATGAGAACAGGGAGGAATCATCCCAGAACTACACGTGAGGATCTTGTCAATGATCTCCAGGCAGCTGGGACCACAGTCACCAAGAAAACAATTGGTAACACACTACGCCGACAAGGACTGAAATCCTGCAGTGCCCGCAAGGTCCCTCTGCTCAAGAAAGCACATGCCAGGCCCGTCTGAAGTCTGCCACTGAACATCTGAATGATGCAGAGGAGGACTGGTGGGAAGTGTTGTGGTCAGATGAGACCAAAATCGAGCTCTTTGGCATCAACTCAACTCGCCGTGTTTGGAGGAGGAGGAATGCTGCCTATGACCCCAACAACACCATCCCAACTGTGAAACGTGGTGGAAACATTCTGCTTTGGGGGTGTTTTTCTGCTTAGGGGAAAGGACAACTGCACCGCATCAAAGGGACGATGGACGGGCCAATGTACCTTTTTAAATCTTGGGTGAGAACCTTCTTCCCTCAGCCAGGGCATTGAAAATGGGTGGTGGATGGGTGTTCCAGCATGACAATGACCCAAAACACACGGCCAAGGCAACAAAGGAGCGGCTCAAGAAGAAGCACATTAAGGTCCTGGAGTGGCCTAGCCAGTCTCCAGACCTTCATCCGATTGAAAATCTGTGGAGGGAGCTGAAAGTTTGAGTTGCCAAACGTCAGCCACCAAACCTTAATGACTTGGAGAGGATCTGCCAAGAGGAGTGGGCCAAAATCCCTCCTGAGATGTGTGCAAACCTGGTGGCCAACTCCAGGAAACGTCTGACCTCTGTGATTGCCAACAAGGGATTGGCCACCAAGTACTAAGTCATGTTTTGTGAAGGGGATCAAATCCTTCTTTCCCTCATGAACATGCAGATCAGTCATCATTTGTTAGACACATTTCTGCTGAATTTGTTGTTGTATTCTGTCTCTCAGTGTTACACCGAACATTCCATTGTTAGACCGATCATTTCTTTGTGAGTGGGCGAACATTCCATTGTTAGACCGATCATTTCTTTGTGAGGGGCGAACATTCACCATCAGCAGGGGAGCAAATATGCATTTCCTTTACTGTATATGAGAAGACAGCTTCTCTCCTTTTTAGAGCACTGGGAGTGTAGTGAAAGCTGTACTCTTGGTGCTTAATAAAACTATTCTAAATAACAGGTGCAAAAGATGGCATGTACCTTATTGGACGTAAAGCCCTAGTAATCTGGCACACTTTACAGAGTGGCTGAATTCCTAAAGTTCAGCTTTATTGACAGAGAATTTAATTTTCTTTTATCTTTTCTGATTTCAGCGATGTCATCTTCTGATCTGAGGAAGCAGCTGGAATGTGCCATCTGTCTGAACATTTATACAGATCCTGTAACCCTGAAATGTGGACACAACTTCTGCCAGGACTGTATTGGCCGTGTGTTGGATACACAGGAGGAGTCTGGAGGTTATTCCTGTCCTGAATGCAGAGAAGAGTTCCAGGAGCGTCCTGCAATGTGGAAGAACATAACACTGTGTAATATAGTGGAGAATTTCCCATCTGCCCATCCAGATCGGGAGGAGTCCGGTGTCTTCTGTACTCACTGTATTCACACTCCTGTACCGGCTGTGAAATCCTGTCTGCATTGTGAAGCTTCTCTGTGTGACAACCACCTGAGAGTCCACAGCAAGTCACCAGAACACGTCTTATGTGATCCCACCACTTCCCTGGAGGGCAGAAAATGTTCCGTCCATAAGGAACTACTGAGGTATTACTGCATCGAGGACTCCACATGTATCTGTGTGTCCTGCAGTTTGGTTGGAGAACATCGGGGACACCAGGTGGAGACTCTGGAGGAGGCCTCTGAGATGAAGAAGAAGAAAACTGAGGAATGTTCTGCAGAAACTGATGACAGAGAGAGAGGAGATGGAGAAAAGAATCCAGAGTCTGCAGGAACACGGGAGGAAAGTCCAAGAGAAAGCAGATGATGAGACAAAGAGAGTCGCTGCCCTGTTCAGAGACCTCAATAGATGTCTGGAAGACCTGGAGAAGAGAGTCCTGAGTGAGATCTCCGGGCAGGTAGAGCGACTCTCTCTATCAATGTCTGATATGATCCAACAGCTGGAAATAAAGAAGGAGGAGCTGTCCAGGAAGATGAGGGACATTGAGGAGCTGTGTAACATAACGGATCCACTGACTGTCCTACAGGAATCAGACACAGGTGACTTGTGTGATACTGAGGATGGAGATGATGAGGACCGAGAGAGACATGAAAAACACCTCCATGTTAGAGGGGATTTGGATGTGGCGGGGATCTCACACACAATACACACTGGTTTATCTGATATCATGTCTGGGGTCAATGTACATATATGTACAGGCATACATGTCTCTCCACATTCTACTACAGAGTACGAAGGTCACATCAAAGAGGAACCATCTAGTCCACCCAGCATACAATGCTCAGACCACCAGGCTGGAGGACCCAATATTGTGGTTGTACAGCAAACATGGGGGGTGTCGGGGGTTACAGACATATTACCGGAAGTGAAGACAGCTGGCAATCAGCTACATCTATCAGATGATGGGAAAACTGTGTCCGGGACATCACATCAGACTCTCCTAGAAACATCAGGGAGATTTTGGTCTTCTCAGAAATCAAACACAGGTGACTTGTGTGATACTGAGGGTGGAGATGATGAGAAACTCCTCCATGATGGAGGGGATCTAGATGTGGTGGGGATCTCACACACATTGCACACGGGTTTATTCGATATCATGTCTGGGGTCAATGTACAGGAATGTACAGGCACACATGTCTCTCCACATTCTACTACAAAGGACGAAGGTATCATCAATGCTGAACCATCCAGGAAACGCCTCAGATTCACCCCCACCATACAACACTCACACATGGAAGATATAGGACCAAATATTGGGGTTGTACAGCAAACATTGGGGGTGTCGGAGGTTACAGACATGTTACTGGATGTGAGGACAGCTGGTAATTATCTACTTATATCAGATGACGGGAAAACTGCATCCTCATCATCACATCAGAATCTCCCAGAAACACCAGAGAGATTTCAGTGTCCTCAGGTGATCAGCAGTCAGATTTTCTCCTCGGGGAGACATTACTGGGAAGTGGATGTTGGGGGTTCTATCTACTGGAAAGTCGGAATGTGCTACCCCAGTATAGACAGGAGGGGAGTTCAGTCTTGGATTGGATTTAATAGGAAGTCCTGGGGTTTGGAGAGATTGTGGGGTGATGAGTACTTAGTAATACATGACAGGAAGGAGACCCCATTACCCGGCCGTGTCTCCAGTAACAGAGTCAGGATAGATCTGGATTATGAGGCCGGGCGGATCTCCTTTTATGAATTGTGTGACCCGATCCGACACCTCCACACCTTCACCACCACCTTCACTGAGCCTCTCCAGGCTGGGTTAGGTGTATGGAAAGGTTTTATAAAGATATCTGGGGGGGATCAAATGTGAGACAAATGCCCAAAGACTGGTGACATCACAGGGCGGAGAACCTGATTGGTGTAATACTCCAATTAGAGGACAAGAACCAGCACAACTGATTTATTTATAAAGCTGGAGGCTCCAGGGCCATCATCTTCATCCTGAACCTCACTTCACTACCGTAGTGTGTCACTGACCAGGAACCAGCATGCAGGAGGTCAGATTATTAAGGCTTCACTAGCTGCATACTTCTGCATCAGAGAAACACAAGGAAGTTTAGGCAGGTTTGGGATGGCAGCTCTGTAGCTGGCACCTTTACAGCGTATCTGGAGTAGGGAAGGATTAAAACTGTTTTCAGGTTTTAATTGCCTTCCAGGATTTTCCCCACAGTTCCTGCTCTGTGGACAATCCTTTACCAGACAGGAAGTGAGAGGAACTCTGCAACCGCAACACAGTTTTCAGTAGGGGAAGGCGGGAACCCCTGTCATATAGTTACATAGTCTGCCTGAAAAAAGACAAAAGTCCTTCCAGTTCAACCATTTAAAAAAAAGTTAAAATCCTACACCCACAGTTGATCCAGAGGAAGGCAAAAAAAACCCCTGCAAAGTATGATCCAATTTGCTCCTGCTGTTGAAACAATTCCTCCCTGATCCCCCGAGAGGCAATCGGATATTCCCTGGATCAACTTTCCCTATAAATGTTATATCCAGTTATATTCTGTGTATCCAAGAAAGAATCCAGGACTTTCCTACAGCAATCCACTGAGCTGGCCACAACCAAACTCTGGAGGGAGTCTATTCCACATTCTCACAGCTCTCACTGTGAAGAAACCCTTCCATGTTTGGAGATTACATTTCTTTTCCTCCAGACGTAAAGAGCGCCCCCTTGTCCTCTGTGATGACCTCAGGGTGAAGAACTACACCGAGTTCACCTACAAACCACTGATGTATTATATTTTTCTTTCTGTAGATTTTCCTTCATGTTTGTATAGTAAAATGTCTCCAGGACAGAAAGACAGAAACAGCCAGCAGTTGTCTCGTTCCTATTGGCTATGATGTACAGGGGGCGGGAATTGAAACGAGGAGGACCTTTTGTTGTTTTTAAGAGACTCCATCTAGCTTGCAATGTTGCAGTGTTCCCTTCACATAACATACACTAAACTTTCCTAAAGGTCTGTCTTTCTCCCCCAGATTCTCGAGGTTTTCGTTTTGCCTCTGTAAGACGTAGCTGATGACAGGATATGTTGCATTATTCTATTCGCTAGGTTTTACTAACATCTCACACCACTTCCTTTCTTATCTTTTGTATAAAATAGAATGTAATAAAACATTTTATGAGAATAGATATTTTTAAACAATGTGTGTCCTGTGAATCTGTTTCTGCATATGCGGAGTAAACGTTTATTCTCGGTGTGTCAACCAGAAATATCCGTAACAGGTTTCTTGGTGAGCCAACCAGGAGTAGCGGAGTCTCCAGAAGGAGCAGCACTCTGATTTGGACATCTAAATGCCCGCTAGGTAAACTGTCCTTTCTGCCTTACCTTAGTGTCCTGTCTTTCGGTTCTCTAGGAAACCGGACCTACTTTTGGACCTTTCTGGTTCGGTAACGTGTGTGTTAGAATGTGTTTTGTTGTCCTCCATCATGGGCTGGACCGAGTGTGGATAGGGAAAATTCTCTGACGTTCCTTACGTTGACCTCTTGTGGGAATCCTGGGTCAAAGGCATGTGGTAGTGTAACACTACCCCCTTAGGAGTTGCTTACATTTTAGGTTCCCCTATAGTCCTGCACAGCCAGGCAACATGCATTTCCACACAGACTTGCATCCAGGAGTAAGTAACCGGTCTTTGAGCTTGTTTTTGTTGGATTTTATTAGGTGGATTTCAACTTGGATGGGGTAAAGGGTATGGGATGCCCAATGGAACTGAGAAACTGAGGCTTCCTGAAATCTATACAAACGGTCACAGAGAAAACAGTCTACTTTGGAAAGCTAGCCAGCCTCTCCTGTAGTACCATCTAGGACCCCAGATAAATCCTCTTCTTTACCCAGCTGTCTGGAGGAATTCCTGAGCAGGGGAACCAGTGTCTGCCACATAGATAGTGAAACAGTTCTGGGTGGCAGGCTAATCCAGCTCCCCACTAGAGTGCCTCCTTTCCCTATCTGGCCCAAGGGTACAGGTCTACTCACTCAGTCCTTCTGTGTGGCTGGTTGGTTGGTGGCTGCTACCAGGCCTTTTAGCTGGGCCCTCTCCTTCCTTGCTACACAGGTGGTCCTCGTTCTAGGGGCTGGAGAAGGTCTAAGCTTTCCTCCTTCCAAGCTCCACTGCCTGTAGGCGAGCCCCTCTCCATCTGGGCCTGCCTCCAGGCTCCTCTCTTCAGCCTCACTCCATCTCCCACCCAGACTCCTGCTGCTGAGCAGGCTCCCTTATTCTTAAAGGCTTTCCTGGCCCCTTGCAAGCCTCCTGTTGGTGATTAGCCAGGATTCTCTAAAAGTACAGATCAGCCACTCCTCAGGTACACCCATTGCTTGTAGACCTTTCTCCAAAGTTTTAGAGCAGGGGGAAATTCCAGAGTCCTGATCTGCAGAGCCTCTCATCTCTGCTAATTTGCCCCCTGCTAGCTACAGTATCACACCCAAGCTACTCAGCCCTCCTTGCTAACAATTGGAGTCTATCTCCCCCCAGCTGACTAGTAGGGTCAGATTAAAACCCGCAGATAAGAGACAAGGAGAGTCTCTTAGTGAGTGTTTTATCTATTGTCATAAATACCATCTATCCACATAGATAAGTGGAGACTACTCTTGTAAATTTGCAGATTCACTGTCAAGTCAAGGGGGTATAGGCACAAGTAGAGAAAAGACTATTAAAGAGTAAGTAATGGAAAGAAGGATAAGAGACCCTCAGGAAATGCCCAGCGCAAGATGAGCGCTTGAGAGTACACGAACCAGAGGTACCATTCCAGCTATACTGAGCCCCTAGATAAATGGGTAGAATGGACAAAAAGAACAGGTAAACCATAAAAACCTGAAAGGACTTATGATTTACACGCAAACATTTTCGCATGATGATGGCCCCCTGCTATGCAGTGAAGAAACATGAAGAATAGCTTGAACATTAGAGAGAGAAGCTAAATTAGCAAAGTAAACTGGTCTGACGGAGATGTTTTTTTTTTGTAATTCCTTTATCATTTTTTTTTTTGCAGAGAAGCCAAAAAAAAACGTACAATATAAAGTACACAGAAGCTACATAGCAAATGGCAATATATGGGTGAAACGTAACCAATAATCAGGTAAACAAACAGCAGCATGGTAGTAACCGAGATAGGTAATAACAAAATGAAATCAGGTGCATGGTACTATGTGGTCCTGACCAGCTGATTTGGCAATGGTCCAAATACAGGAAACCAACTACACGGACCACATGGAAAACCGGACCATCCAAAGATCTCAGACATGGGGAAAAGAGATCCCACCAAGGATCTCAGGCAACCAACTGAGAAAACTGTTTCGATAAAGAATTCCCCTTCCATTGGGAAATCAACAAGGAAGAGTGTGGTTACACAGGGGAATCAGGAAAAAAAAAAGGGAGAGCAGGGCACAAAGGGAAGAGGAAAAGAGCAAAAGGGGCGGATGAAATTGGGGGAAAAAAAACCAGAGAGGGGATAAGAAAGAGAAGCAGAAACAAGAGACCAGGCAAGAAAAGACCAAGAGAAATAAGGCAGGAAGAGGTGGCAGAGTAGAGCGAATCAGCCCGCCTCCCATCCAGGGGTCCTGAACAGCAAGCAAACCAGACATTCCCCCTCAAACTGGCTCAGAGGGTGCCTGAAGATAAGAATCGGTATAGACAAAATATTGCCATGGTCTCCAAGTGTCTCGAAAAACTTCCCCTTTGTCGTACAGACAAGCTGAAAGGTCCTCCATGTCTCACAGCTTATTAACTTTAGAAAACCAAAGAGACCTCGTAGGTGGGTGCACAGACCTCCAACACAAGGGAATGCAAGCCTTGGCCGTGTTCAGAAATTGAATCGTCAGAGAGGCCTTATAATTTTTAATGGGGTGGTCTACAAGTTTCAACAAGCACACCGCTGGGTCACAAGCCACTGACGGAGATGTTTAATAAAAGTGCTGCCCAAATTTATTACGTCTGGCCAGAAGAATCTGTTGGGGAAGGTCCCACTACCTGCGGCTGCCAGTTTTGCATTATGAGGTCCATCCACAAATCCCTCCCATCCAGGGGTCCTGAACAGCAAGCAAGCAAACCAGACATTCAAGCCCCCTCAAACCGGCTCAGAGGGTGCCTGAAGATAAGAATCGGTATAGACAAAATATTGCCATGGTCTCCAAGTGTCTCGAAAAACCTCCCCTTTGTCGTACAGACAAGCTGTAAGGTCCTCCATGTCTCACAGCTTATTAACTTTAGAAAACCATAGGGACCTCGTAGGTGGGTGCACAGACCTCCAACACAAGGGAATGCAAGCCTTGGCCGTGTTCAGAAATTGAATCGTCAGAGAGGCCTTATAATTTTTAATGGGGTGGTCTACAAGTTGCAACAAGCACACCGCTGGGTCACAAGCCACTGATGGAGATGTTTAATTAAAAGTGCTGCCCAAATTTATTACGTCTGGCCAGAAGACTGTTGGGGAAGGTCCCACTACCTGCGGCTGCCAGTTTTGCTTTATGAGGTCCATCCACAAAAGCACAGAAACCAGATTACATGCAACACACAAAAGATGAGTTGTGCAATATAGTACAGAGCAGAGGTTTAACAGCCCCATATCAACCTACTAAGCGGGATTAGGCTGAAATCCTAGAAACAGATGATTGGCATAAGTCGAAAGGCCCCTATGGAAAACTAGATCCCTCTGAGTTTAAAGCTTTAGTCAGAGAAAGAGGTCT